CACGGGAAAAAAAATCCTCATTCACGCTTCACGCAAAGAAAAAACGCCCATTCATGCATCACGAAAAAAGTAAAGGGGACCCTCAATGATGGAATTAAACTGATCAAACTGGATGCTGAGGGGGATTTCAATGGGAAATGGTGGGGTGGGGGCTAATTGACGTTTATTCATCATTTTCGCTGAGGTCTGGTGATGCAGAATTTGTGCAACTCTGTTCTTTACAGGTACCACATGCAGCCAAGCAATCCAGTCCATACTTTCTGCATGAACATCTCTGGGAGACACAGTCAGATTTACAATTGCACCTAACAATCTTTAACAAAGATGCTTGGGCTGCTGGTAGGTCAGTTCTTACGAGTAGGAGTCTTCAATCTACTAGTTTCCAACCTCAGTCTTGTGGTGGGAGCACAGCACCTCTCCACTGCTGTACCTGATGATAAACCCTGAGGTTGTGGTAGAGAGCAGTTACAGAAGTAGGAGGGAGACATTTGGGCTGTACAAATGAAGTCCCTGTTGTGATCTTCTGGCAGAATCTCGAATATCGTAACGAATCCAGACTTTTGTCAGACTGGCCATTGTATAAACAAACAAGGGACTTCTCTCCAGCTGCAATGATATCACACTTTGTGGCATCTTCATTATCAAAAGCCTCAGCTTGCTCCTGAAATTGTGCATCCTTCATAATCTTCTTAATAGCCAAACCCTTGCCAATCCCATGAATTCCTGACGTTGTATCACATCCTAGAACTGCATGAACAAAAAAGAATATTTGCGCAAGTTTCTGGTCCCAGTGCAGCCTTGATTTTCTTGATTTCCCAAATCTCTCTCCTCATTGACCTTCGCTTTAGCTGAGAAATGAAAAACAGATCACGAGTGCTTGAGTCCGTTGGACGTCCCTTTGCACGCTTTGAATCAGTATCATTCCCATGCTTCTTCAGACTCTGTTTTCCCATCCGAAAGTTGACACTGCACGCTTGGTGGTACACAGCATCTGGAGCATGTAGATCTTGTGCAAACTCTAATTTCCCCCGCACCGTAATTTCCACCCATTCATTATTCATGACTTTGCACTCCTCTTGTGTTTTATCCTGGAAGTCTTTTGTACATACCGGGATAACATCGTAGCCTCATTTTCAGCCCTCATACTTCTCGGGTTGGCCACAGTGTTTCTTAAAAACAAACCTAGATGTGGTGGACCAGCAAGCAATGGTTGTTCTTTCATTCTGCTCAACATTACGGCCTCCAGTTTTTTTGGACCTAATAAAATCAAGATGGCATTTATTGTGTACGCATTGGCCAGTTTTCACATGGACTGTGCACTGGTCGAGTGTGTGGCTTATGCTATTAATGTTTCTGCAACCTTTTCCGTCAAAGTTACCGTCAGATCTCCATTGTCTACGGACTCACTGCAAAAGCAGCAGTCCATGATGCATTGTACTTGCGTACGTCTTTGAAGAACAAACTCTCTTGGAAGAAATCATATTAACATTTCAGTAAGTGATTCTGCTTGTGAATTATTAAGTGTTAATGTATTTAACCGCAGTACAATTTATAAAATTTCAGTTTATGAACACAAGAAGCATTGTCGCTTTGTGACATTATAACAAAGAGAGCAAAATTACTGTTAAGTGGTTGCATTAAAATTGTAAGTAATGTATGAATATATATAAGTGTGTGGCATTAAAAAAAATACTGGGCGCTGATTGGTTGAGAGAGAGGGCAGTTTTGCTTAAATTAGGGCACTTTTGGTAATCAAGAGAGGACATGATTACCTAATGCTGACTGGTTAATCGACTGCGTAGCAACCAGGATGCATAGGGAGTTTGAACAAAATCGCCACTCGTGCATTTACAACAATCAATATCAGAGTTTTTTCAACTTGTAGTACAATCTAAGAGCAGATACTTTTCAGCCCGAAGGTTGCGCCATAGCTGTAGCATGGATACATGGTCCCAACTTTTTCCAGTTATTGGTTTTTTTTATGGGTTTATGTGTCCGGCTATAGTAGTGGAGGCAAAATAACAATTATTTGTTRATAAAAACTTGGATAAACYGACGCACGAAGYTTCTTTGCTTTATTGAGTAYAAACAAGCTTACCGCTGCACTTAAGAAAACAAAAAAATTTCCCTTAAAGGAACAGTCTATGTACTGATTTAAACATGAGAAAGAAAAAGGCTGAAAGCAGGGAAAGAAATCAAATTGCCAAACTGTTTGACCTCGTTGTTTGTTGTTTTGAACATGTTAAAAGAGGTGAAACATCCACAGTGAAATGTTCTTCGATTTTACTTGTTGCAGTCTCTTATCCATGAAGAAAACTTTTTTCTAGCAGCTAATAATGAATATTTGTAGTTCTTTCTTCAACAATGTCGACAATAAATGTTTTTTGAACAAGTCTTTGTTGAATAGCTTTAATCTCTCTTCAGTTTGTTGAGCAAGTCTTCCTACATTGCCGACTTGGGCGCCTTTGAGTGAAAAAAGGCTTTTCAACTTTAACCGTAATTTTGCCTTCTATGTCATAGACATGTAATTGCATGATTCCTCATAAAATTAATGACTAATCTCACTTGTATTTTCAGAAGTTGCAGAAATTGCCCTTATCGCTTCTGAAAACACGCTTGATATTACTGATCCTTTAGATTTTACTCAACCACATGTGATTACATGTGATAAAAATACAATGTGCAACATAACTCAGACTTACCGTTTCTCACAGCACAACCCTGAAATAAATATAACTAGATATTGCAGAGAAAACATAAAACTCCAGTAATAATAAAACTCCGTGAGTATAGAACTTACAGACAATGCAGTGAAACAACCTGAATACTACTCAGCATTTCATGCTATACAGTTGGAGTCTGGGACCACTCAAATCATATGTTTTAATCTAATTATTTTATTTTCATCTGTTAATAACATTTTTGTTCATTACAAACATTTATTGCAGTTTAAGATGGCTTAGAACCACTCGAAAAAAGTAATAGAAAAATACATTTGTGTAAGCTAGTAACAATATTAGTGCCTTCCTTGCAATTAAAGTTAAATTTTTAATAAAAAAAAAACATCTCTTCTTGAATTGCATACCGTGTGGTACATGCCCAAGATATTAAAATGCTTAATCCGAGCATGGTTTCATATTTTTATCTATTAATAACATTTTTGTACATTATAAACATTTATTGTAGTTCAAGATGGCTTAGAACCACTCAAAACAACTTTATTTTGTGTGGTTCGATTTCTTATTACTTTTCTCAAAGTTGGAACCCTGTGGCACACGCTCAAAATATTAAAAAGCTTAATCTAAGCATGTTCCACCACACAAGTTTTGGGGAACTTTCAGTATGTTAGTAAGTTGACCAGTATCTATCATTTGGAGGTGACAGAAATTCTGTTGCAATTAGTTTGACTTTGACTATAAAAACTTCATCAGATGACTGGACTATGAAGACAGTTTCTGTTTTTGTTTCCCATGTGATAGGAATCTCCATGGTGGCAACTGCTTTAAGATTAGACTTTGGATCTGAAGAGCTCTGTTACAGAAATAGGCTCCTCCAGGGGACAATACTTGAGATTAGGTCATTTGGAGGCCATAAAATCAGCATGAAGTTTGCTCACAAGCGATACAGAACAGCAGCTATCCAATGGCAAGGGCAAGCGCTGACCTGAAGATGTAACAGAGGTCCACAGAATGTAATGCCGATGTAACTGAGCTTCTGGCTTTGCTGAAGGTGTAAGGATGGTAACCGCAGGTAATCCAAACAAAGGAGTAGATAACGATGGCTGATCAGAATTAACCGGAGGTGGTGGTTGTGAAGCTGAGGCAGAGGCTTGGTTTTCAATAAGTAAATAAGTAAGTAAGTACTTTATTTAGACAAATTTCACCAGTGAGCCTGCAGCTCGTTTAAATGTGAACGTGTACACTAAAATCAACATAGGCACGCAAGGCGTGCAAGAGTTATTCTTTTGTGTGAAGTGTCGGAGATAGGAGCATTCATGGAGCTGTTTACAGTAACGATTTGGTTAATTTGACAAGTTTTTTTGGCTGTGATGTACAGCAAGAAACAAACTGGGAATTTATGATGTCCATGCGATGTTACATCGGTCATGGTAAGATAGCTAAATAGTAAGCCATAAAATGTTTGACTGAACAAACT